TTACAAATCTGTAATCGACCTGATCACCCTTAACCTAAACCCTAGGATCACTCCCCTTGAATCAAACTTCAATTGGAATTTTACAAGATTGTGATCAATGCCTTGATCACTCTTAACCTATACCATAGTAGCACTCAAATGAACCAATCACAGCAGAACAACATCCCTAAATTAGAATTATATATATATATATATATATATATATATATATATATATATATATATAGATATATAAATTCTCCATAGACTTTTGCTCCCATTATGATGCTATTTGGACTTCATCTTTAACTCTTAATTCTAAATTTTGATTCTGCTATTTTTCTTCAATTGACTGCAACAACTTCAAGTTTATCTTACCTTTATTTTGAATTTCTGATTCTATTTTTGTTCTCAATTCTTTCAACAACTTCAATCTTTACCTTATCTCTAGATTTGAAACTTTAACAAACTTTTCAAGATGCTGCAACCACCCAACAAAAATCATCTTGCTTTAGAATCAACAAATAAAGTTGTTAGGATTTGAAATTTAATTACATCAATTGTGTCATCATTAAATTTTTTTAAAGCATAGGGTGCAACATGAAGGACTCAAGGATCGAAGCATTTTATCATACAGCTTATGTGCAATTTAGAGAGTAACTTACCACTACACAAGCTAATTGCATGATTCTCCTACAAACAAGATTAACAAGTAACGCAAAATAGTTCATCAACTGTTTTAATTTCAAACAACAGTGCAAAGAATTCAAGAGCAGGGAAGTGTGAGAGAGACAGAAAACTGGGGGAGATTTGGAAACAAATCTTTCTTCATGTCTTACTTATTACAAATCAGTGCTATTTATCCATGATTACAACCAACGAGGCAAAAAAAAGGAAATTAATACACTCCCAAAAATACAGAAATCAATATAATTACGGGATCCTAAAATAATCCTAGATAGTATTTACCAAAATAAATAAATAATGTTAGACAGTAAAGTAATCCTTCAAATGGGCTGGCATCTTCTTTCTACGCATGGGCTCTGAGTGCGGAACTATAGGGAATTATGCTGGGGATGCAGATAGTGTGGGAGCTTGGTTATTTGAAGGTGATCATGGAGACAGACTCGATGGTAGCAAAGAATCTGGTTAGTAGGATCTGCCCTGCGCACAACCCTTTCTTCTCTTTGGTGCAAAGAACCAAGGGCCTGCACGGGTGATTGAGAGATTCGCATGATGACTTTGCCTCCGGAGGACTGTATTCATTATTCAACTAGTTCTGCATGATGCAGCAGCAAGGGCAGCTCATAGGCTGCACTCTGCACACGTAGTTTCCCTTTTGTTTTGTGTTTTTTTTTCCTTTCCTAGTTTTGTTTTCAAAAAGAATAAAAGTAAGAAATAAATAAATAAAGGAAACGGTATTGTGACAGAGTGTATTTTCTGTTGTTGAAGCAGATATATTAATCCCAATTAATAATACAAAAAGGAAAGTAATGCAATTATAATATTGAATATATTGACTTGGTATGTGAATTATAATTAGGTATGACAAGGTTTCTAAAATCCGACATGTTCCACATGTTTCTTCTAGGCCGAAAGTTTCCAAGTCCTTCCTACCGTACTTTGAAAACTTCTGCTAATCCACCAATAGGGGTTAATCAAAACACTAATCAGCTATATGTCAAATTGTCAACCTCCTTGGACGTTTAGTACAACCGTATACACTACACCGAATTACGATCCACCACATCGCATAATCTCCGTATGTAATTGTAAAAATAAATTATATTAACTTCTCGATACATTTAAATAATTATTTTTCATTGAGGGTTTAGTTTATTTTCGAAATAAATTTTTTTTTTATCTTCATCTTAATTTTTTTTCTAAAAAAATTATGCACTAAAAATTGTTGGAATTTATGAACAATAATCCATTGGTTATGAATAAGAAGTGTGTTAATAAAGAAAGGGGCAAAGGGAAGATGAAGAAGTGTGTGAGTATTGGCAAGTCCCACATTAGAAAAACAGTAGGAAGTTGAAGAGTTTATAAGCTCTCACCTCACTCTCCTAGATTGACCCTTTGGGTCACTACACATTTTGTGGAGGGGAGGAGCTAGGTGAGCTGTGGTCTACCGCCGTCGTCCGGCCGGTTCGGTTCGGTTCATATGTGTGTAATAAAAATAATTATTTTTTAATATTTTGTCCAAAAATTTATCCGTTGCTTCCCTCCAAATTTCGAACCCAAACGTTTCTACCCGTCGGTTTTTTGAGCAATTTTAACCGAACCGATTCTTCCCTTTCGTGAACTGGTCATCGGTTGTGTCTGCTCCCCGAACCGGTCACCGGTTGTACCTGTTCGTCGGAACGGTCACCGGTCGTACCCGTTCGCCGCCGGCGACTGTTCATCGTGACCGGTCAGTGTCTATAAATAGACACTAACACCTTCATAAATTTGTCGGTTTTTTCTGCACTGAAACTCTGCTGAAATTTTTCTTCTCTTCCGGTTTGCATACTTTTGTTCATCCTCCGGTGTAGTTTCCTCTGGCAATTGTTGTGTTCGTTTGGGCTGTTGATTGGTAGTGCCACAATTCTTCAGACGAAATCCGTTCTATCCTGGGAGGCAAGTGTCGATCAACCTTTGGCATCTGAGAGTGGGCAAATTGTCTTAAGGAGACACGTTCTGTGGGCTCGGATTTTTACTCCTGTGATACTGCGTATCATTATCATCTTGTCTCATATATCTAACAAGTAAGTCTGTTCTTATTTTATTTATAATTGCACAGTGATAATTCTGATTATCTACTCCCTTCTGGTTTATACATGAGTTCAAGCCTCTAGTGATTTAATATCACCCATTGTCTTCAATAACAAAAATTATGTTATCTTAAAATATTACATTAATATATCTTCTCAGTAGTACTTTTTATATAAACTTTTATAAATTTTTGCAAATAGAGGTATTTGTGTTAAACAGAGAAAATATACGCATTCCGAAATATAGAGGGAAAAATGTTAGCTTAACATTTTTTTAAGTTGTCCAATTTTCTTATGACTCACTCATATTTCTAGTACTATGCTCTGGTAATTCTAAAAAGAGTCAGTCTTAAAGCATGTTACTTGCACTAAATGAAGTTTTATATTGCATTAATAAGGATTTTATAAAAGGGGAAAATAAAGGCCGGAGCATTTCCATTGTATATGTGAAAAAGTATTCCAGATTCATTTTATTTATCGTGGAGTTACAAAATTTTATGAGGGTAAAAAACTGCAATGTATATTCTTTGTGAAAAACAACAAAAGATTTCTATAAGGTTTGAGGGGTGATCACTAACTATATGATAAAAAAAAAATAATGTTCAAACTTAAAGACTAGTATAAAATTAAAGGGGGCGATTATCCCTCTAATCCCTTGCTGGCTTCACCATTGCGTCTCATCATTGTAACTTCTCCTAAATGTAAATTTTGAGCAGTTTGTGTTTTATAAATGAAACTATAATTATAGTTTGAGTCACATTTTAAGTTATTTTTTTTTGATAAACCACATTTTAAGTTATTTTAATTTGATATGATATCACACAATATTTAAAAAGGACTTATTTTAATAATTGATGGAAATGTATATTTATCAATTCAAATTAATATATTGTATATTATAAGAAAAAAAAATGTTTGTCTTTTTAAAAGACATATATATAATGGTGTCATTTTAAGCAAGGAAAAGACACAACCTAGTATCTTTTATTTAAAATTTAAAATTTAAAAAAATACTCACTTTTCTCCCATAATTTTTATTATCCGTATTTTTTCTCATTTAAAATGACATAATTCTATATCATTTAGAAGGACAGATACTAAACCCTTATAAGGGAAAAATGTTTACATTAATATATGGGAATAACATCCGTCATTTTAAAGGATGTAAGCTTATATCATTTTAGATCCTAACCGTTGATTTCTGTCCATCAACGGTTATAATCTATTGGATCAAAATTATTAATTAATTAATAATAAATTTGGCCATTAAGTTTGACCCAATAAATTATAACCGTTGATGGACGAAAATCAACGGTTAGAATCTAAAATGATATAAGATTATATCCTTTAAAAGGATATATGTTTTTCCCTTAATTAATATAATTTGTCTTAAAACATATATAACAAACATTTTTTGTGACTTGGTTATGCATAATGATAAAATTGTATATTTTGTTAAATGATTGGATTGATCTAGTCCTGATTTAGCTATTGGTTGGGACATGATCGAGACAGATTCAGATCTACAAAATTAGCTTCATACAAATAAAAGATGTGTCCCATAACAACTCTTATATGTGTCCTTAAGACTAAATTGAAAGTTCAGCTTAATTAAAATATAAAAAGAAAAAGAATTAAGTCAAACCAATCCAACTTAAAACAACGAGTTCAGTCAACAACAAAGTATGAAAATCGTAGATATTTTTATTTTTCTTCATTTTCTCTTGAGTGTTAAAAGTTAAAATCCTGAGTTGATTCATTCTGAGCTTAACGCTAGGGATCTGCATGGGTCGAACCAGATCAATTTTTATAAAAAATCGAATCGAATTGGTTTAAATGGTTCAGTTTGAAAGTAGTTCGGTTCGATTTAAAACTGATTTGGAACCGGTTCGGGTCGACACTCTTTTAAAAAAAAAAATTTAAAAATTTAAAAAATAAAGTTATAAAAATTAATTTGGTTCGGTTATTAAATCAGTTCTAAAAACAGGTTCGGTTCTTAAACCGGTTCTAAAAACTGGTTCGGTTCATGAACCGGTTCTTTAAAAACCGATTCGGTTCATGAACTAGTTTTTAAAAATCGATTATTTTATGAAGCGGTTTAATTCGGTTCATAGTTCGACCCAATTTTTTGATTATTTTACACACGCTTACTTAACGCGTACTGACCCAGCCTAGCTAGTAGCTACCAGTTAAAATCTGTAACGTATCCCCTCATTGATTTTTATAAAAAAGGCCTCTCTCTCTCTCTCTCTCTCTCTCTTAGCCTCAGTTTCATACTCCACCATCTGACCCCCATTTTTTCAAAGTTTCGTTCTCTACACACGATAAGAGAAGAGGGGAGTTCCTTCCACCGTTCAGTCCAGACACGACTAGTAATTTACTTAATAGTCCCCTCTAAATCTTTCAAACCCATAATTTCATTTTCGAGAAATGGGTATTAAAGATCGTAAAGCAGCTCTTGTGAGATGGTTGCCGCCCCTCTTGCTATTGGGGTTGTGGCAATTGTCCACCATACCCTGTGTCAAAGCGACGTCGTCTACACCCAGGTACAAGAATGCATACGCGACGATGATGTACGTGGGAACACCGAGGGACTACGAGTTCTACATCGCGGTTCGCGTCCTCCTCAAATCCCTTTCCAAACTAAACGTTGAAGCAGATCTCGTCGTCATTGCTTCCCTCGATGTCCCTCTCCGATGGATTCGAGCTCTGTGAGTCCTTCTCTTCCCTCACACACTTTCTTTTTCCCTTTTTCCTTTTTTTTTTTAATAATTCTTATTTTTATTTCTTTATCGATTTGCTCCTCTGTTTTCGGCGTAGATTAAGATTGGTCTCGTTTCGGTTATATTACATAAATATTCATTTCTCCCTAATATTCGGTCGATGTTAGAGCATTTGGTTGTCCAGTCGCAGCGCGTCATGTTTGAGGGTTGGGAGTGAGTTCTATATAAGTAAATATCCATTGAAATGGTGAGGAATGAGGATTGAATTGAAATCTCCCAGAAAAGCCTGGCTTGGTCAAAATCCAATTATTCCTTACTTAATTATCATTATGAATAATTTTTAGTTATTTAATTGAGGTTTGCGCGTTAAGGACAAGATTTGGAAATGACGGTTTCAACCTACCTTTTTTCGAGAATTGTGAATCGTTTCTATTCGTTTTTTGTGCCATCAGTTATCAGTATTATTATATGCTACCACCTGATTTGCCTATTATTGCCCGCACTACTGTTCCAATTAAATAAAACATTATTATGACAGGAGATAATGAGAATAAAATCGTTGGCTTGGGTTTGGACGGTGTAGCTTCATTTCATAACTAGAATTATATACTTCTTGTTAAATTAATCATTTATTTGAATTTTGTTACATCTTTTTAAAACGTCGCTTTATTAATTTAAAATTCTTAATAAAAAATAAATATATGGAATATCTTCTTGAAAACATAAAAATTATATAATATTTTTGAGGACTAATATGAGTCTTTTTTGAATTTGTGAGGGACCGCGATTTTAACTAAATAGCTCTATTTTAAATTTTTTAGGGATCACGATGGACTTTTTTTTATTTGCTAGAGACTAAAGCGGATATCGTGAAATCTGCCGAGGACCAAAAAATGTATTTACTCTAAAAATAAAAATATGTAATATCTTCTTGAAAACATAAAAGTTATATAATATTTTTTATTTATTAATTAAAAAAATTGATGATAAATGCCCTTTGCCAAATATAGCTACTGGCATTTTGTCTTATCCGCAATTTGCATCCTTCCGTGACGAGTAGAAGGGGATCAGCTTAACCAATTTTGACTCTGAGCCCTCTTCATTTGTCGGTACTCGCAAGAGACACTTCCAGTTTTCCACTTGCGAAGTTATCCTTAACTGGTCAGAACAAGTAAAGTAGTGACTCAATGACCAAACTACCCGTTACTTTTCAAAATTTCAAAAGTTACCCTTCTTTTTTTAAAATAAATTTTTTCAAAACATACCTACATACAAGATAACTTTAATCCTCACAAAACTGCACTTTAACCCCCAAAATACTTACTCTAGTTCTGCCCCAGTATAATTACCGAAACCCACTTTTTTTTTTTGGTAACAACCGAAACCCACTTTAATATGATGCGAGTAGAACACACAGGTTTCGAAGTTCCTTTTGGTCGGTTCAATTTCAATACATGCATTTATTGAGTTGGAGAAATAACCGGTGTTGTTCTTATGTGTTGTAACAGGGAAGAGGAAGATGGTGCGAAAGTGGTGAGGGTGGAAAACATGGACAATCCCTACAAGCATCAAGATAATTTTGACAAGAGATTTAAGTTATCGTTGAACAAACTGTATGCGTGGAACTTAGTGGACTATGACAGGGTAGTCATGTTGGACGCTGACAACCTCTTCCTTCAAAACACGGATGAGTTGTTTCAATGTGGACAATTCTGTGCTGTCTTCATCAATCCTTGCGTCTTCCATACGGGCCTCTTCGTGCTCCAGGTAAATTTACCTTAAAGGCCAAAACAATATTATCTACTAAGGTGCAATATAACTAACACCATATATACATATTATTTGTACCCTAAAACCATTTTTTATGCGCACCTAAACTTCTTCCAAATAATAATAGTAACAAAAACAAAAATTACAGCAAGTCAGCAACAATAACACCTCATGCTATTTATATGTATTTTTTTGGGTATATATCTAATGCAAAAGTTTTTGGGGAAAAAAATTATATTAAATTTGACCATATTTGTTGATCTCTGTCATAGAGGTTCTAATTATTTGATATTTGCAGCCATCAACGATCGTGTTCAAGGACATGGTTCATGAATTACAGAATGGGAGAGAAAATCCAGATGGTGCAGATCAGGGTTTTATAGCTAGCTACTTCCCCGAGTTGCTTGATAAGCCAATGTTTCATCCACCTCCAAATGACACCAAGCTTGATGGAACATATAGGCTTCCTTTAGGTTATCAGATGGATGCTTCTTACTACTGTAAGTAAATTACAATAGAAAAGTTGTTAAAATATTTTAAACAACACTTCTTAATGGCTTAGTGAAACTTAAGTTTGTGCTAATTTTCTTCCTGGCTTCAGATCTTAAACTTCGCTGGAGCATACCCTGTGGACCAAATAGTGTGATCACATTCCCAGGGGCACCATGGTTGAAGCCATGGTATTGGTGGTCGTGGCCTGTCCTGCCATTAGGCCTCCAGTGGCATGAACATCGTCGTCAAACTTTGGGGTAAGTCCAAAAGGGGTGTGTTCATTTTTTGGTTGTCCTCCAATTTTTTTCTGATGGAAAATCATGAAGGTGGCCTATAACCAAAAACACGGGATTTCAGTATATATTTGTGAAGTGATAGATTACTTATGTAGCATTCTGTTAATTTCTTTCTGGTAGCCCCTTGATTTTTGTCACACCATTGCTTTCGGGAGATACATGTCCTTTTGAAATCTTTTTTTCACATGTTGAAAGCTATTTTAGAATTTGGTCTATAATTTATTAATTGGTGCAGGTATGGTGCCGAGATGGCTGTGATACTCTTCCAATCTGCAATATTTCTGGGAATAATAGCAATGACGCGTTTGGCAAGGCCAAGCCTATCAAAGCTGTGTTATAGGCGCTCTGATAAGAGCATCAACCTGGTGCATAACAGCCTCAAATTAGTAGCTTTGTGGTGCATCCTTGCTGCATACACAACACCGTTCTTTATCATTCCTCACACGGTTCACCCTCTACTGGGCTGGATCATGTATTTGCTTGGTACTTTTGCACTTTGCTCAATTGCAATTAATGTCTTTCTGCTACCAATGTTACCAGTTTTGGTACCGTTGCTTGGGATTTTTGGGGTCCTGATGGTAATGGCATTTCCTTGGTATCCGGATGGGGTAGTAAGAGCACTCTCTGTCTTTGTTTATGCCTTCTGTTCTGCACCATTTTTATGGGCATCTATGGTGAGGATAGTGGCAGGTCTTCAGCTATCTCTAGAAAAGGAAGCTTTTCTGCCTAGATTGGGAGAATGTTTGCCACATTCTTGGTTTAACAAGTTATGTTGAGCTGTCCAATCGAGTATAGTTCAATGCTGGGACAAAGAAGGACCAAACCAAATTTATAAGGGTAGGTATAATATATTAATACCCCACGTACAGTGCTCAGGACTGAGATAGGGTTGTTCTCACTTCACTTGTTTGTGTTGGTGAAGAGATATTTTGCAACATCAAGCCGTCAAAGCTGAAATCAAGAGATGGCTCCTACAAGGATATGAGATTGTTTGCTACTAGTCACCTATTTGTATCGTTTGTGTAATTGGTTACGGTATTTATTTATTTTTTTGTAAAATTACCAAGAACTGAGATAACAGAATAGAGTTCATTAGACATTTTACAAACGCTAATTACTAAAAGCTTTGCTTTTGTCTAACCCCGTATTCCAGAAATACGATAAACACACTGATCTCAATAACGTAGGCATATCAAGATCACAACAATATTATTCTGCCATTTCTTTGCAGCACGTGGTTAGCGAAATTCTTTAAAATAATAATAAATGATATGTATTTTTCGAAATAATTCACGTACTAAAACAGTAAAAAAAATAGACAGTGTTTTATCAATTATTTTTTACTTTTATTATTTGTAATATTTTTTAACACATGTTTTTACACCAAATAGCATGTATCTGCTGAATTGTTTAATATTTATATTTTTCGTGCGTGAAAGTACTACGGAATCCAACATCTTTTTATAAAAGTATCTTCCGATAATATTATAGCTGGATTCAGTTCAACGGTAGGTACTCGCTCCCTGCGCGCTGGTAGGGTTTCGACCCAGCCCAAAAGAACCAAACCAAAATTATATGTCCAGCCCGATACTAAAATATGATCAAGATAAAAATCCAATATTCACCTGTAGTATTACCTATGCATTAAAGTTTTTATCATAACACTGATCATCATTGTTAGTTAATTTGATCTAATTAGCCCACTAGAGGTGGTTTTGGATTTAATTAATTAATTATACTGATATATTACAAAATAGCAATTTATGTGGAGTTTTTTTTTGAATTAATTTTATCATCCCACTAGAACTGATTTTATATTAATTAAATAATTTATACATTATAACGTATCAATTTATGGAGTTTTTGTTGAGCAATTTTTGTTTATACCTCACAATTACATAAAAAGGTTTAGAGCATGCTATATTTATAATGAAAAGTAAAAGTTGAAATGATAAACTTAGGTGATTTTCCATCTTTTTCCATGAAAATTTACACACTTCCTTGAAGAAGAAAAAAAACATATTTCACGGTTCTAAAAGTTTTGCTGGAAAAATAAAAATAAAAATAAAATCATTTTTGTACAAAATAAATAAATAAATAAATATATATATATATATATATATATATATATATATATATATATATATATATATGGGATAAAATTAAGCCAGTTATATAACTCCTACAACCTTCTTCTTCTTCTAAATCTTTTTTTTTTTTTTTGCAATCTCGTAGTTTGTATGTATGAATCATGAATGAAAGGATAACAACATGTGTTGCCGGTTTCAACACAATTGGGCCTAACAGAAGAAAAGGCTTAGCCCAATGACACTTAATTGATTTAGTTTTTAGTTTGTTAATTCAGTTAAGGACTGGTTAGAGTTAGTTGGCACTATTCTTTTATTCTTTAATTCTTCTCCTTCACGGGTTGTATATAACCATTCTTTGGTTAACTGGTTCATTAACTTGATATACAGAAACACTTTAATTTCGTGTTGGCTTCTTCTTCTCTCATCTTGCATATCAAGATTTTGCATCTTTCGTTCTTGCATGTTGAAGATCTATACATCATAAGATGGTATCAGATTTCTTCTTCTTCCGCTGAATTTTTTTTTCGTTTCTTGCTGATCTTTCTTCTGCAAGTTCGTTTCTTCCATGGCGAATTTGAACAATATTCTCTCGGATTTTTACACAAATCCAGGTAATCCTTTCTTTCTACATCCAAGCGAGAGTCCATGCTTGGTGTTAGTTTCTCCTCCTCTTGATGAGAGGAATTATCATTCTTGGGCCAGATCCATGACTATGGCTCTCTTAACCAAGAACAAATTAGGTTTTGTTGATGGTTCTCTTGCACGTCCACTGGAAAATGATCATACATTTCCAATTTGGCAGCGTTGCAATATGATAGTTTTATCTTGGATTCATCATTCTATCAGTAGTTCTATTGCACAATCCATACTATGAATAGATAGAGCCAGTGATGCTTGGTCTGATCTTCGAGGAAGATTTTCTCATTCTGATATTTTTCGCATCTCTGATTTACAAGAAGACATATATAAAATGCAACAAGGTGATCGTTCTGTTACTGAGTTTTACACTCAGATGAAGATCATGTGGGATGAACTCGACAATTTGACACCCTTACCTGCTTGTAGATGTGCTGATCAATGCACTTGTGGAGGTTATACCTTGATGCGAACATATAGGGACCGTGATCAGGTGGTTCGTTTTCTCAAAGGTCTAAATGAGCAATATGCTCCTGTAAGATCTCAAGTGATGCTCATGGATCCTTTTCCCAATTTAATACGAGTTTTCTCTCTGATTGTGCAACAAGAGAGACAAATGCATTGTGAAATTTTAGCTGATCCCACATCAGAATCTAGAGCTTTCAATAGCTTTTCTGACAATCCCCAAAGACAGAATTTTGGTCGTGGTAGGGGTCGTGGATCCCATTATTTCTTCAATAAGGGACATGGTCCTACTAAAATTTGTACCTATTGTGGAAAGCCAAACCACACTGTAGACACTTGTTACCAAAAGCATGGATATCCTCAAGGTTTCAAGCCCAGAGTTTCATCCAATGCTAATTTCGTTTCTCAAACTGATGCTGATATCACTGACAGTGGTGACATTCCTGATGCCATGGTCACCATTCCTCAAGATGAATATCAAAATTTGATTAAGGGTTTGCAATTAAGTTCTTCTGTTGAAGAAACTCCTCTCAGTTCCACCAATCTTGTTCGTACTGCTGTTTTGAACACTAACACAGTCAACCCTACAGGTATTTCTCTTTCCACATGGTTACTTGACACTGGAGCTACTGATCACATCAGTTATGTTCCATCCAATTTTATCTCAATGACCAAAATCAATCCAATTTCTATCAGCTTACCCGATGGCTCACACACAACTGCTCATTTTTTTGGAACTGTTCTGTTTTCTCCAACCTTGACACTTACTTCAGTATTATTTGTTCCTTCCTTTCATGTTAATTTGATATCTGTCACCAAATTAGTCAACAACATATCTTGTTATCTAATTTTTCGAAATTCCTATTGTCTCATTAAACAGATCAATACCAATGTGATGATTGGTTCAGCTGATCAGATTGAAGGATTGTATGTGATGAAGTCCTTAAGTAGAGAAAAGGGCTTCAAGATCTTGAAGAGTTCTTCTTCTTCTGTTTTTTACCATTCTGCAAATAATAATGATGCTTCTAGCCTATGGCATCATAGATTAGGTCGTGTACCTTATTCTACTTTGAAACATATGGCTATAAAATTTCCTTTCATTCTGGCTAAGGACATTGATCCTTGTGACACTTGTCATTATGCTAAACAACATAAGTTGCCTTACTCCCACAACAATACCAAAACTACTTGTATTTTTCAATTGATTCATGTAGACATTTGGGGTCCATACTCTATTCCTTCCATTCATGGCCATAGATATTTTTTATCTATTGTTGAGGATTTTTCTCATTTTACTTGGGCCTTGATGTTAAAAACCAAGATTGAAAATCAATTTCAGAAAACTGTCGAATGTGTAAGATCTGACAATGGAGCAGAATTTGCTATGACATCATTTTATCAAGAAAAAGGTATTTTACATCAAAGGACTTGTGTTGAAAATCCTCAACGAAATGGTGTTGTTGAGAGAAAACATCAACACATCTTAAATGTAGCTAGAGCCCTCATTTTTCAGTCTCATCTCCCTCTACCATACTGGTCTTATGCTATTTGTCATGCAATTCATCTTATTAATCGATTGTCCACTCCTTTACTCAATCATTCCACTCCTTATGATCTCCTTTACCAACAACCACGCTTCCTACAGCATCTCAAAGTTTTTGGTTGTCTATCATATGCCTCCACACTTCTTTCTCATAGAACCAAGTTTGACTCGAGAGCATATAAAACTATTTTTCTAGGCTATCAAGAAGGTGTTAAAGGTTACATTCTCCTTGATCTCAAAACCAGGAAAATTTTCCTTTCTCGAAATGTTATTTTCTTTGAGCATATTTTTCCTTTTACTGATTTAGAAACTTCAACAGACAATTCTCCTGGTCATTCTGATTCTTCTCACATTTTTTTTGATTTCCACAGTTTCAATGATATTCCACTTGGCCCTAATACTGCCATTTTACCACAACAACCCACTTCTCCTTTACCTCCTCATGACATACCTGAAAATCTTCATACTCTTTTACCACAGCAACCTTTGACCTCCTACTGACATACCTAATCCTTCTATTGCTCCCATTAGCAAACCTTCTCGAACTAGAAGACAACCACACTACTTGCAAGACTATCACTGCAACCTTTCCATCACATCAGCTTCTCCATCCATCTCAGGTATTTCTCCATCCTCCAATCCTATATATCCTTTATCCACTATCCTATCCTATGACAGATGTTCCCCTACTTATAAATATTTTTGTCTCAATACTATCACACACACAGAACCACACACATACACACAAGCTTCAAAACATGCTTGCTGGCAGCATGCTATGCAAACTGAAATTGCAGCCCTTAATCAGAGCAATACATGGAGTCTTGTTCCTCTTCCTCTTGGTAAGAGCCTCATCGGCTGTAAATGGGTGTATAAAATCAAACACAAGGCTGATGGATCCATTGAAAGGTACAAGGCTCGCCTTGTAGCCAAAGGGTATACACAAACTGAAGGCTTGGATTTTTTTGAAACCTTTAGTCCAGTGGCCAAGTTAACCACAGTTCGTTTATTGTTGTCACTTGCTTCTTCTAAGCATTGGTTCTTGGAGCAACTTGATGTGAACAATGCCTTTCTTCATGGTGACCTACATGAAGAGGTTTACATGACTTTGCCACCTGGTGTTTTCTCTTCGACTCCTTCTCTGGTTTGTAAATTGAACAAGTCAATTTATGGTCTTAAACAAGCTAGTCGACAGTGGTATTCTAAGCTTTCTGCTGCTCTTTTATCTCTTGGTTATTCTCAATCCAATGCTGACTTTTCTTTGTTTACAAAGCAGCAGGCCAATCACTTTACAGCTTTGTTAGTGTATGTGGATGATATTGTTCTTACTGGGGATAGCATGGAGGAGATTCAACAGGTGAAATCTTTTCTAGATAGTCAGTTCAAGATTAAAGATTTGGGGAAACTCAGATTTTCTTAGGTCTTGAAGTTTCACACTCCTCTACTGGTATATTACTCAATCAACGCAAATACACTTTGGACCTTCTCTCCGATACTGGTCTGTTAGCTTTCAAACCAGCTTCTACCCCCATGGATCCTTCAGTCAAGTTAAGCCGTGATATGGGTTCACTGCTTCCAAATGCTTCAGTATACCGTAGACTTATTGGCAGACTTTTATACCTGACTACCACTCGTCCGAATATAAGTTTTAGTGTTCATCAACTTAGCCAATTTTTGGCTGCTCCTACTGATGCTCACCTTGATGGTGCTAATTGAGTCCTCAGATACTTGAAGCACTCTCCTTCTCAAGGCTTGTTCTTCCCTGCCAATTCTTCTCTGCAACTAAGTGGTTATGCTGATGCGGATTGGGCATGTTGTCCAGATACCCGTCGTTCTGTAACAGGTTTTTGTGTTTTTCTTGGCACTTCACTCATTTCTTGGAGATCAAAGAAGCAAACAACGGTTTCTCGTTCATCCAGCGAAGCAGAGTATCGTGCCTTGGCATCTATTACATGTGAACTTCAATGACTGTCTTTCCCCTTGCACGATTTGTCAATTCCATGACCAAAGCCATTTATGGTTTTCTGTGACAATCTCTCTGCCATCCACCTTTCTCATAATCCGATTTTCCATGAGAGATCCAAACATATCGAACTTGATTGTCATATCGTTCGCGAGAAGATCCAATCCAGTTTAATTCATATGTTGCCGGTTTCAACTACTGCCCAGATTGCTGATGTTTTCACGAAACCGTTATTGCCATCTCCTTTTCATATTTTAATTGGCAAGCTTGGCCTTCTTGACATCCATAACCCAGCCCAAGCTTGTGGGTGGGGGGGGGGGGGTGTTGCCGGTTTCAACACAATTGGGCCTAACAGAAGAAAGGGCCCAGCCCAATGACACTTAATTGATTTAGTTTTTAGTTTGTTAATTCAATTAAGGACTGGTTAGAGTTAGTTGGCATTATTCTTTTATTCTTTAATTCTCCTCCTTCACGGGTTGTATATAACCATTCTTTGGTTAACTGGTTCATTAACTTAATATACAGAAACACTTTAATTTTGTGTTGGCTTCTTCTTCTCTCATCTTGCATATCAAGATTTTGCATCTTTCGTTCTTGCATGTTGAAGATCTATACATCATAAGAGCATGTGCGTACGGTATCATACATCGGTTGCTTTTGTACCAGTCACCTTACTGACCCACGGAGGGGGTGAATACAGCATCATTTGAACCTTTAAAGTAGGCTGCGTTTTTCACAGTGAAGTATAGAGTAATAATCATCAATAATGGCAATTAAAGTAGGCTGCGTTATCTAATACTTATATGTTTACTTAATTTTTATCAATAACTTTCAATTCTTTGCAATTTTATATCACATTAACACTTTACTAATGTTAAGACAAAAATAATACAACTTCTTGAGTAAAAAGAAGATAGCTCAGACAGCTTGTAACTATAGTTAGTTTCATAAATTTGTCTACGAAAACTTCTCATGAATTATTATGAACTTATTAATTCGAAACTTTTATTTAGTTAATTGTGCACAGGTTTTAACAAGATACTTAAAGAAATAGGTAAATAGGAAATCGATCATTTCATGTTAAACATAACATAGTAATGTGGGAAAATCATAATTATCCAAAGATAAAAATTTTATAACTATTTATTTTAATATTTTTCTCTCTTTTTTTTATCGTTATCAATCTAACTTTATATAATTATAATTTCTTCACTTTTGTTTAACATGAGAGTAACCATTGCAAATAAGTGAAATAACAACATTGATTGAAGTTAGCATTTTACCCAACTGCATTTCCTAAAACAAGAAGTGTATTTGGAACTGGGACAGGGTGGTCGTGGCACCCTTCCCGTGACACTCCAATGATCATTGGCTTTTCCTTTTCCGCCATAATCATTATGGAAGACTTGTTTATAAGTTTGGGTAAATATGGTCTCATGCCCCCCTTTATGAAAATTGAGAGAGAGAAAAGGGTTCGGGCCCCAACGTTCAAAAAAAAATTTTGGGCTCACAAACGGAAAAACATTTGGTGTGTGGGGCCAATTTGTCTGCGACTATATATAAAGATAAAAAGGTTCGATGGGCATAAAACAAAAATACTATTGAATCCATGCCGGGACCATCATGTGTCATGAACATATGACATCACACATCACACACCCCCACCCAAATGACCGTTTGAATCACAGTGGATAATGATATTGCTATACAATTGTGGTGAATCAAGGGACGTGGGATGGAAAGATAAGATACTACCTATTAAGAAAACTAACACAGTAAAAGTGACAAATGATTCCTTAGACCGGACCCCATTATTGTTGCATTCGTATTTGATATTTGCATGTGCATTGTTGTTGTAGTTTACAAGTTATTACGAGCTAGTTAATTAAAAGTTAAAACTGAATAAACAAAATGGAAGCTAAATTTGCTGTAATCATGTCTCATGTTTTTTTTTTTTATAGCATCATAAGTGCAATTGCATCCTACCATTTGACTCTTTGAAACTTTAGTTGTGATGAAATGAAACACACTTGAGTAAAGCATGAAAAGAATAAAGTAAACAGAAAATTCAAAAAAAGGGGCTCGTTCTATTATAAGGAAATAATTTTTCTATTCATAAGTATACGAGAATAACAAGCATATCTCTACCAATATCAAGATTGGAGAGCCAAATAGACATAATCAATTATCAATCAAGATTACTGTAGAGACATGCTAGTAGTACCTAGGTGGTATCTTACTCAGAGATACCGAGCCAAAAGGATGATGCCCCACATGTTTTGGAATACTAGATTTTGAGTGCAATGCCAGCCAATCAATTTTCTACAAGGCTAGTAATCTACATCTAAATTGCCCCTAAAAGCTTGTACTTCAATAAAAATGACCGTTGGAATGAAACACCCGTACTAAGTCATAGTGCATCCAAATATAAAATATATAAAAACGAAAAGTGTTTGTACTTTTAAATTACACAATTTATATCATTTCACTCTCGTAAAGAGGTGGGACCTTCATCTTTATATATTTTTGTTCACTCTCTCTCCTCTTTTATCTATTTCTTCCTCTCACTTAAAATGATACAACTTTATATCATTTAAAATTATACACATCTTTTCCATATACAAACTACCTCTCTCTTCTTGTTTTTTACTTGCACACTTGTATATTCCTCAATTATTTTAATTATTACGCCTGCAGCCAAAAACTCCCAATATAAATAGAATAATATTACACAGTCTCTCAGTTAGCTCTTCACAGTTCTATTTTCTTCGCGTTCGATGCTTACTATCTAATGGCTCCTCTATTCGTCAAGCTGCAAGTACTTTTTGTTTTCACTTGCATATTTCATGCAGCAACAGTAACATGTACACACTACCGCGACAACACCCTCAAAATATTGTCTTCCACAAACTCCTCCAACCAGAACCACAGTTGGGTCGGACCCATCGGCCACCGTGTAATAACCGTTGACCTTAACGGCGGTGGCCACTTCCGTTCCGTTCAAGACGCCGTCAATGCTGTCCCAGACAACAATAGAATGAATGTCCTTATTCAAATCAGCGCCGGATGCTACGTGTATATAAACGCCATTAATTAATTAATAGTTTTAGTTTCTTGTTATTTCTTGTTGGTAAACGAAACTAAGTGGTTGATTTGGGTGTGTGTGTGGGGGGAACTGCAGGGAGAAGGTGATGGTGCCCGTTTCGAAACCTTACATAACGTTTCAAGGAGCGGGTAGAGAAGTGACGGTGATGGAATGGCATGACAGAGCAAGTGATCCTGGTCCCAATGGACAACAATTGCGTACTTACAGAACAGCTTCTGTTACTGTTTTTGCTAACTACTTTTCTGCTAGGAATATCAGCTTCAAGGTAAATAACTTAAACACTATATTGTTTTTCTTGGAAGAAGATTATATTTATAAAATTTTTGTTTATAAATTCTTATAAACTGCGTTATATTATCTGAGTGGTAATACATTCTTCAGTTAAATATTATTGGTCGGATATAATGTAATTTATAAAAATTTGTAAAATTTTTTTGTAAATGAATCATTGTTGTGTTTTTTTACTCGCTGGCACAGTAAAAATGAAAGGGTTAATTTAATTTAATGCACAGAACACAGCGCCAGCACCAATGCCGGGGATGCAGGGGTGGCAAGCGGCGGCGTTTAGAATATCAGGGGACAAAGCATACTTCTCAGGCTGTGGATTCTACGGTGCACAAGATACACTTTGTGATGACGCTGGCAGGCATTACTTCAAGGAATGCTATATCGAGGGTTCCATTGATTTCATTTTTGGTAATGGCAGGTCCATGTACAAGGTAATTAATTAACTTAGTACAATGTATAATATTTGTTCGTTTGTTTATCTTAATTTTACCAACCTTATCTAATGGGAGTTTATTTTACTTTATTTTAATGGTAATGACACGCGATAAGAAGAGTACTAGTGCTGTTTTCTGTAGTAAAGTTTGTTATATTTGAATGCAAGTGTGTGGCTTGGGTCAGGGACAAGAAATTAGTGATTTTAGGAAAAGGAAGCAAGCTTTTTTGGGACTTTGCACCTTTGTGTCAGCACACACGGGATTCAGAAGGAGAAATCCAAAAAAAAACATTCAGATGCATAAAGTAACGTTAAAAATGGAAAAGTCTCTGATTTTTAATGATGTAAAATTGTGTGTGAGAGAAAAGAGATAGATAATGAGAATAAAAGTGTGGATCCCACGTCTCTGTGAGATCCACACTTTTATCTTTTTGTGAGAATAAAATGACATAGATTATGTAATAAATATTTTTCTCCAAAATTAATATATATTTTGGGGAACATATAACATTTAAAGAAAACACGACTTTTGATGGTGAGAGGAAGAGATAAAAAAAACTCACTGCAACTTAAGACAATCATTCCCCATATTTATAAGCACTGAAAGCTTCTTTCGGTTCTTAATCAGAGAAGCTTTAGAAAACATTTTCCCAGTTCTCTCCATTATCCATCTCCAACTCCTTCACTCCTTCATAACTCTTTTTCTTTTTGTTTCTTTCATGTAATTTTTTTTCAAAACTTAGGACCATTTTTTCTCAAAAAGTTGGGTGTATGTGTGTATACTGCGTGGTATTATGTACTGCATGTTATATAAAATAGCATGATAATTGAAAATGTTCTTATTTACGTGGACAGTGACATTACTCTTTTTTTTTTTTTTTTTTGGAATGATGCTCAAATTATATTATCCTATTCTTTATTTTAAAAGATTATACTCATATTCACTGGTAGACTAATATATCTTATGTTTTAATTTATTTTAATGTGAACAAATTGTTAAAAATATTTGTTCTCTTTCCGCAATTCTCAGCATCATTAACTCAACTGTTAATTTTGAACAATTAGAGACTTATTTATTGTTGTTTACTATTATTATGTGATTCGTGGTTTTAAAATGAAATAAAATTTAACATACTTTAACTTTTTAAAAAAAATGCAAGTTTTAAAAATAAAAAGATAGACAATATAATTGAAGTATTTGATAAATTAAATAAATGCAATACAACATCTCATCTGTAACACTTGCATTGCCTGCTTTGGGTTAAGCTCATAATTGCGTTGGGTTGAGTAATAATATTAATCGGTTTAGGATTGCGAGCTACACTCAATAGCAACGAGGTTCGGTTCCATAGCAGCCCAGGATAGGAAATACCCATACGAGAAGACAGGCTTCGCATTCGTACGATGCAAGGTTACGGGTACAGGCCCACTGTATGTGGGGCGAGCAATGGGCCAATACTCGAGAATTGTGTACTCGTACACATATTTCGGTGATGTAGTTGCACACGGTGGTTGGGATGATTGGGACCATGCTCACAACAAGAACAAGTAAGCTATATCTCCATTTTATGATTCCTTCGGTGATCACATTATTACGGGAATGATCCGTTTATAAATTTTTTTTATAAATTATATTAAGTATGATCAGTCATATATTTTTAGTTTGATTGAAATATGATCGGTCATATTTAATATAGTTTGTAAAAATTTATAAACATAAAGTTTGTAAATATAACTTTTCCCGTTGTTATAAATATGTTTTTCTCAAGTTAAACTTGACGTAATATATAGTATCTGTGTTGTTGAATTGTAATCACCATATATAGGACTGTGTTCTTCGGAGTGTACAAGTGTTGGGGACCAGGAGCTGAGGCAGTACGTGGAGTCTCATGGGCCAGAGAGTTGGATTTCGAATCAGCACATCCATTTCTAGTCAAGAGCTTCGTCAATGGGAGACACTGGATCGCACCCTCTGATGCTTAGCCATAACGTTTTACCTTGCTAGCTGCACTCAATCCAAAACCATTCTTTTCCTTCTTTTCTATTTTTTTTTTTGCTAATATAGGAATTCATTTATTCTCTCTCTGTAAAGGGTGTGTTTCATGACTTCTTATTGATTATTCTTTGGTTACCTTCAAATGTAATAAATGCACAATTATAATGGTTCAATCCTCTCTATTTCTTTTTTCTTTTTTCGTTTTTCATTTTTCATTTTTATAAACAATATGATACGGATATGAAATTCTGATGTTGTTTCAGAGCGCTTCATAGCTGTGTTTAATTTCCAAAGGGGAGAAAGTGATCCTATAAGTTACCACATATTTTCTAAATCAGCTCCCAATCCTTCTATGAACTCTCAACTTATATACCAATTTCCCTCAGACAATGTTTATATAGACAAGAATTTGCCTTTCGATCATATATAATCTCAAGGTGATAGACTATAAAGTGTGAGTTCCTCACGAGTCATAACCTTACAATGAGTAGGAAAAGAACAATTTTATGACAAAAATAAAAATATTTTATTCTCACCAAAGTGAAAAATTATGTCCCTAAGAATCTACAAACCAGCATCTGTGACACAGTATAAGAGAAATAGCTCCACATTGCATAACAATTGGACCGGAAGTCTAGCAATTCCGGCAGGAAAAAAATATTAATATCACTTGATTATTGACTGATATGTGAACTTTGTTGGTGGTGAGATTTATAATTTCTTTCAAAAAATCCTAAAAAAGTTGGGGGTTTACATTTGCCCTCACGGGATAACCACGTCTAACTCCACCTAAATTTTTAATTACCCAATTTTTTATTTTTTTTGTAATTTAACAACCATAGCAAGTTACTCATAAACATAATAACAAAGGTCCGGGGAAAGCAAAAAGAATAAATGGCAATGCATGCTCCCAAGTATATTCCACTACATAATTTCAAGTTCTTCACTGTTTCTTTTTTTTTTTATTAATATTTCTTATCTTATTAAAAATAATTTTATTTTTTATACATTCGTAAAAGTATACGGGGTTCACGTGTGACCATATGAAGAAAAAAAAAAATAAACTCTACATAATTATATATATATATATATATATATAGGATCAGAATCTCAATTACATTTTTTATTTCTCTCTCTTATTTAGATTCTAATCTAACGGTGTTGAAGGATGGTAGACAAAGATATGCAGAAAAAAAGACAGATAGAATAACATATTCCATATATATATGTAAAAGATATTATAATAAGCAAAAAAATTACTCTTATGCTACGTGTGATAACTGTGTCACTTTTTTCTTTTCTTTTCTTTTGCTTTTATTTTTCAGGTAGTGGAACCTATAAGTTGATCTCTATGACATGAGATAACTTATATCTTCTTTAACATGAGATTAATAAAACCCTTATAATAATATCTATTCCTATCAATATATTTTGAAAAAATGAGTTCAAGAACTCTGCCATTATAATTTAAAAAAAAGATATTATATTTAGAGTAAAGTTTCTTTTGGATCACTAACAAAAAATATACTTCTCACTTCAGTTCCTTATGAAAAGGAATTTAATCTCGAAATTTCTAAGAAATTTAAAGATTCTCACTCCAGTCCCTTATAAAAAAATTTAGTCTCAAAATTTCTAAAAAATTCAAAGTGGATCCATTTAGTTGAAATCGTGATTCTTTTCAAATTTAAAAAAAGCCCACATAAAATGAATCAACTTTAAATTTCATATGGACCAAACGACTAATTTTTTTATAAAGAACTAATATGACGAGGGACTCAAAAGAGACTTTACTCTTATATTTATATTTTTTTAATGCATATTTTAACTATTTTTTTAGAAAAAAATAATTCTCCAGTCACATAAAATTATCTTCAATAAACACAAAATGACATTTTAAGATTATAAGATTGAATTTCAATATATTAAAATTACAAAAACACATTGATTTTTGGCTAAAACGACTTCTTAAGCATTGATCATTTACAGTAGGATATAAACACTTTTCCCAACAAATAATCCCACTTTAAACGTGTTTTACAAAACTGGTAGTAGTAAGCATTGATCCTTTGCCTCCCCATTTATGGTCAGAAAACTCTGGCATCTGAAAGTTACTTTAGACACCAAATGCACACAAGATCTCCTGCCCTATTATATCTATTCACAATATTAACGACCAGACGTTTGCGTCCCATTCAGCCTTGGTTTACCCTTGAGAGATAAAGAACCTGGTCTATTGTACTTGAAAACCAGTCACAAATCGCAAGCAATCGGCAAGGGAAGGCACACCATTTTTATGTTCCAACTTATTATCGCTCAATATGACTAAATAAGGGGAGCATCATTCAGGCATTAAGAATTCATAACATAGAAAATTACAAGACAAGCACGATGCGAGGAAGATTTAAACTAAAGATCGAGACTTGAGACAAATAAATATCAAAACCTTCATTGAGAATACACAACATATGCATGTATGCGTGCGTGCTAAAAACAAAGTGCAAATCTACTGACTTAAAGTAATTAATAGGGTTTTTACAAAAAAAAAAAAAAAAAGTAATTAATAGGGTTACTATAATTCTCTATTTTCCTGCAGACCCACGGGATGATAAAACATTCCAAATCGCAAGAAATTCATATTTCATATTTGTGTTCAGGTGGTGCAGCATTCTAAAGGCAGAACACCCTGGTCATACATGTTAAGGATGGTGGCGGAATAAGGGTTTTGACAGGTAAAGACATCACGCTAAGATAATAATGTTCAAAGGCTTTGTTTGAAAAGGTTTTGATGGGTAAAACCAATTACTGAAACAACTATGGCCACAATAAAAGGGAAAGTCTACCTTATTTCTTCCCTAATTGTGCCGAGCAATAAAAATAGAAGGAGAATTAACATTGCAAGCAAAAAATATAGTCTGATATTAAACTATTAAAAAAACCGTTCACGGGACATAATCAAAACATTAACTTCTAAAAAGAAAAAAGAAAAAAGAAAAGATCAAATCAAGAGTCGTAACATATTTTTCAAGCTAAGAAAGACCATTCATTCTTCAAGCCTCAGCCTCACTTCTCAGAGGAGTTGGGTCCCCTCTTCTTGCCGAATCCCACAACTACAATTACAAACATCAAAATCTCAAATCAGTAACCAGACAATTTACATGTTGTATTTTCTCTAATAGACAGAAAAACGTTTTCTGGTGTATCTTAAAAAGGGAGACGAATCTTATAGCGCAACATTGCGAGAAATAGGGTTTACAACTATGTAAACAACAAAAATTAGGGTTATGAAGAATACCGGCGGTGACGAATCGGCGGTTGTACTGCATGCGCTTGTGGGCACGGCCACGTGGCTTCTTCTTCTTGTCCTGCTTGGCCACTTTGGGTGTTTGGCCCCTCACTTTTCCGGCACGAGCAAGTGATCCGTGAACCTTACCTGCAAATTAGGTTATATTATTATGCAGAAAAAGGGAAATACCATCATACCTCATTGAATCCAAAGTAATTGCACTTACCCATCACTGCAACGATGAATTCCTCTGCTGATTACTCTCTTTCTCTCTCTGTTTCGATCAGTTGCAGCGGCTGCAGGTAGAAAACCAGATCAAAGTGAAATAGTCGTGCTATTAGTAGTGTTAGGATTAGGGTTATATATACCTAGATGGGCCTTCAGGCCCAATACTTAAAAACCTCAGCCCACTTTACCTACCAGGCCAAGGCCTGTTCAAAAAGAGATTAAATTTTATTTTGTTTAATTTCGAATATACCTAAAATAAAGGATTTAATGTTTCTACCCTGAATATAGATAAGTTATCTACATTCACTCCTAAAATGATATCATTTTGGATTAAAAATTTATAATGAAGAAGACTATTATAGCCGAGATAAATTATAATTACAAAAATACATTGATTTCCATCTCAAAATTACGTCGTTTTGGGCTCAAAGTAGATAATTTATATACATTAACTGCAGAGAAAATGAACCCTGAAAAAAATGAGAATAAAAAATGGATTCGTCTTTTCTACAGTCAATGTAGATAACTTATCTACATTGAGCTCAAAACGACGTCGTTTTGAGACGGAAATCAAGATATTTTTGTAATTATAATTTATTTCGGGGTTATAATAATCTTTTTCATTATAATTCTTTTATTTTTTAACTCAAAATGACGTCGTTTTAGATTCACTATAGAAATATTAAAGACATGAAAATTTAGAGAGAATACTGTAATTTTTTTAGTATCAGGAGTTATTAATAAATAAGATAGTGATATCGAGTTAGTGTAAAGGGTTTAATTAGTTTGTGACACGTTTAAATTCGAACTTACATAGTGCTGTCATTGTACAAATGCAAGTAAAAAGTAAGAAAGAAAAAAGTAAAATATTATTGTGATAACAATTTTATGGTTTCTCAAATAGGTGATGCTATATAGAAATTAATAGTGCACAAATTTTTACACCGTTAGTAATCGAAATTAAATTATAAATGTTGAAGTGTGAACTTTTCTGTAAAATGAAATACACTCATTTGCATGTTAAACCATCTCATTGCTTGTGCTTCGAAATATATGGTCTGACCAATATTTCACTTCCAATTTAATGTCAAATTATATTTGATTCTATTATTTAATTTTTTTTCGCTCGTGATGGGTTAATTTTATGTTTAGCCGTAGATGAGCCGGATTTATAGCTAAGTTTATCCACATTTTAGCTCATGTAAAGCTTAGGCCACTTCATGTGGAAATAAACATAATTTCAATACAGCTTGAATTTTGTTTGCTAAATGAGTCAAAACATTGAATTTTGATGCTCGATTGGACTTGGCTCGCAAGTGCTTGATCAGGAACATGAAAAAGCACGTGCTTATAGTTTTAAAGTTTGTATTGCAGATCATAATTTATCTATAATAACTAAAATTTATAGTAATCAAAAAATACACTGGAGATATTGAAGTGATTAGTCAAAACCCGTGCTTATATGCTTCTTGAATTCCCAAGATCTTCCCATTAATTAAAAAGTAAAAGTTTAAAAAATTGTGATTATATAAAAAATTTAGTTTAAAAATTATTTTAAAACTCAAATTAAAAATAAGTTGTTTGGTAAATAACTTTTGTAAGTTCTGCTTTTAATTAAAATTTCCATAAAGGATATTAAAATCATCTATTCTTTAGATAAATACAAATATTATAAGAAATAAAAGACAAATGTTACAAAATGAAGATTTTAAGGAAAAAATAAATTAAAGAATGGATAAAATACAATTTATTTATTCTTTTTGGGGAAATTCTTAGCATTTTAAAAGGGAGAAAGAGATCAAGCGATTTGTCATTAGGATATAGAGTGAAATTTGTAAATATAATTTTATAAGAGTATATTTAAAAAAACCTAAGAAAAAACATATAGAAATCTTAAGAAAAGCTCCTCTGATAATTTTTGTTCAAAAAAAAAAAACAACCAAACGGTAATAAAAACTAACCCAATCAAGACTAAAAGGCTATGATTTGGAAATTTAAATAATTTAAAAGCTGAAAGAAACAGAAAAGGGGCAAAATTATATTTCACAATTGCATTCACTGTTATTTTGTCTTTGATCTATTGAGGGCATATTTTTTCCTCGCGGGGCATATATAAATGTTTTCTTGTTTAATAAAATGAACAAATGAGTTGTACTACTCACCGAAGCAGGTGGTCCTATCCCTTGCTAAAAGACACCAGTTCCATAATCCTGAGATGGTGGCCAGTGTCAAACTCTCTTGGCATTTAAAATTAAACAATACCTACTATCAAGTGAACCGACCACATTTTAATCATACAACACCAGGTCGGGAGTTGGGAACTTTAATAATACAGAAAGAGAATAAAAAGGGGGGAGGGGAGAGTGAGATATACATCTTTTGTTTCTGTATGAACTCCAACTATTCCGTGCTTCCTGAGAAATGCAGAAGCAGGGACGTCCCAACTATTCTGATGATCAAAAACAAAAATTTGATATTTACAGCTTGAGTATATCTGCTCAAAGTTCAACCTCTTGAAGATCTTCTCCAAAACTGCTACTTTTCGTAGATGTACGCATTACAGAAGACTGATCAGGCATATATGTTGACGGTGGTGACATGCCCAAAGCTTCCCCTCGAGGCTTAATTTCACCCATTTTTGGAGGACTAAATGAATCATTAAAACTCCCACTCCATGATGCTGCTCGACGTGAATGAGAAAATTGAGAGTTACTGCCACCCGTAGCTCCCTGTTTTGACATGTTACCCAGACTTGGAAACCTTTGTATGGCCGTTGACGATACATGTTTGGGGGATTGGAATGACCAATCATTCGTGGCAGATGTTGAAGGATCTTCATTAGCTGCACTATCTTCTTGGTTGCTTTCTGCTATAGCCTCCATTGTCTGCTCATTTGATGATGGTGCAGGAGCAGGAATAAAAAACTTTGCGTTGGCAGCAAGAACAGGTTTCACAGCTGGAACAGAAGGGGACTGAAACAAATTTGCAGAGCTTCCACCACCTTGGTTGAAGGTGTCAACATACCTGTATAATACATAAACAGTTTCATCAATATTATCTTTCTCTTGTTTCTGGAAACTGAGCTGGCTGCACAGAATAGCCAGAACCCATAGGTTCTTCCTGATTTCCTTTCTTTTCATCTTTGGTATTTCTGATAAACATTTTAGTTAGGCCTAATAAAAGTTAAAATATAATTTACACCTTAAATATAAGTTAACAAGACTACCCTCCATATTATAACTCTTCTCAGCCCTAATAAAAGTTAAAAAATAAATTACCCTTTAAGATTCAATTACTATGCTAGCTAAGCCCTTTAGGAGCTACAATTCTTTGTTTTTTCAATTTCAAATTTTATGATCTAATAGAGAAACTAACAGGAGGTCCACTTTACAATGCTTAACAGCTGACAAGTATAACTAAAACCAAAGCAAACCCCCGCCTGCAACAATAACATTGACTTAAAAGATTGAAATATAAGACGTTACCTTGACCGAACACTCATGCGTCCACGAGCAGAGAATTGATTTGAGCTAGGTGGTATCGGTGGCATCCCTGGAGAAAGTTCAGGACTTGAATTTCTTATGTTAGAGCCCTCATTAGGAGGTGAACCTTCAGTCTTCAATGCAGATTTCAAGTTGTACTCGTTTGAACCATTCTGGAAAGCAGCAATTGTTGGAGGTGGTGGCAGTGCAGCTTCTTCAGCTGGAAGTTCAGCACCTTCCTCTACCCATCTCTTCAGCTTTTCATCATAATAAAACTTGTTTTTCTCACCCAATTTAGCCTACATATAGAGCAGAATAAGAACCATTTGAATAGGCACACTCAGAAATAAAAAATTAAATAAAACAGAATATAAAGCAACTAATGATACCTGACGACCAGCAGCACGAGGTCTCAAGACTAGCCCCACAGTCTTTTGAAAGAGTTGTGAGCCAAAACCAAAACGAGAAAAGCGAGATGCAGCCCCTGAGACCTGTGCTTTTCCTTGTGCATCAGGGGAGGTTGTTTCCTGCAATAAATCAACCAGATTTTTTTCATCCAAGTTTAAATATATTATACTCTAACTCGACCAAAAACATGCAGAGGAAGGTGAAAATCTTAACAGGACACCATTCATAGTACTCACACACCTGTCTTGGGCTTCTACCAATATCTGGCTCTGAAACACTTCTATTAGGCTTTGCCATTCTATTATTGTCAGCTGTCCACTCACTTGAAGCAGATGGAACTAACGTTGACATGGCCATCGTCGATTGGCTAGTGGATACTCTGGGTGCCATTTGCTGGTACTGTTGTTCACTTGCATGAACAGTTCCTTGTGATGATAATGGAGCAGGTGGTGGTAAACCACCAACAACTCGATGTGCAGTGCTATCAAAAAAGTTGAGCAATTTGCCAACTAATTTTGCAGGAGCCAAATTTGCAGCATATCCACCCTGAACATAAATTATTAAACAAGAGGATAAATAACAAAAATAATAATAATGAAGTTTTAATTAAGGACAAGGAAGCACCTGTTGGTGAGTTCTAATCCTCTCATCAAGAGATAATACCAATTGTTTCCACATTTCTACTTCTGGAGCACGGCCAGTTTTCAAGGATTTCAGTATTGCTTGGCAGTACCTGAAATCAAATAATAACAATACAATAAGACAGATCATATAGAGAATAATATAACAAATAATGTACCACGAACTTACTTCAATGAGTCTGAAACCTTTCCCACTTCAGCCAGCATATATGCATAAATAAGCTTATATGGTTGAAATGGATGCAAAATAAACTGAGAATTTCCAAGCACCTTCGAATATTCATATAACTCGGTTCTCTGTCCAAGTACACGTCAGGTAAGATAAGTTTGAGTGCTTCAATATACACATCATACAAATTGAACCATATTGACATGTTCTTTTTAGAAATCAACGGATGCTGATGTGGCACGAATATGTCACGCAGAGATAGGTTATTTAAAAAGCTTGCAGAAGACAGGGTTGATTAAAAAAACTCATTGTTTCATTTTGAAGATAAACCAAGGACTGGAGAAGTAATTAAGAAAGGAAATGACATCTCTTAAGTATGTAGCCAAATATAGTAGAGAATATGAAACATCCTAGTTTAAACCTTGCAAAATCCCAGAAACTTGAGCATTTGCAACCAGAAAACCCCCCACACAAAAGCGAGAGAGCTACTGCTGGATCGACACGACGTACATGATATTTTGTGAGAAAAAGACTAAATACATGCACATGCAACAGAACAGCCAAATTTTGTGGAGGAAGCGACTTAAGAACGATAGAGATTTCAAAATACCTGGATAGCCTCTGGACTAGCATAAGTTCGAGGAAATTTCCAGTGATCTGCTCCTATCAGACAGAGTCTTGCACTGTCTGAGTATGACTCAAAGTTTGCTTCAGCAACTAAATAGCAGATGTGTGCAGCAGTAATCTAAAATATGAGTTTCAAATCAGAAGCAGAATGGACAACTTCAAAAATCATTAAACAGAAGAAAAAACAGAGTGAGAACTATACCTCACTTCTTTCCTTCCACAAGCAATCACCAAGGTGAATAATTACAAGTTCATCACCTTTGGTTTGGTTTGCAGTTATTACAGCCAGATTCTCCTCCCAATCATCAAGCATACCATTAGATCCAACCTGAAATTGCAGAGAAACAACAAAAGTTTGAGCTTCTAAGTAAAATAAAAACCAAAAACCTTTGCAACTATTGAACCAATGTATTTAACAAAACATCTGGATTGCATAGCCCTTGCATGGATGGCTTCTGAGTTTATCCTCTTAGGATCACCTGTGCAGACTGCAGAGGCATATTAAAATCACCAGGATGCCCACTACTTGAGGTATCAGTGGCGAATACTTCAGCTGGTTGCCCAGCAATTAGAAGGCATAATGTGCGCAGAGGTGACCCTGCAACCAGCTGGTGAATCGCCATTTGCTTCACCGTATCAACATAGAACTGCAATGCAAATATGGACCAAACTTACTCCCCCAGTAAAGACAGTATGAGAAAATGACTATAAGACCCAAAAGAGACTGTCTAGCTCGGGCACAAAGTATCAGCAAGGTATTAAACATTCTGAAATTTTGGCACCTGACCTGATCACCAAGTTGTGAAGCAAGAACAAGTGCAGGTCCCCACAATTGTCCTTCTTGTGCACATTGTAAAGCCTCCTTCTTTTTGCCAGAGACAAGAAGATTTTGTACCTCAGAAGCCATTGCCTAGATCAAAATTAAAATCAGTAAAGGGTAAAAAACATGAGAGGGGGATGGTCAGGAGTTAACTTAATACACACCCCCATTTGTGCTTCAGAAGGCAAATTTTGCAAGCAATGGCTCGGCTTCCCATACTGACTGAACTCTGTGCCACTCATCTTGGCAGATGCAAAAAGTTTTGCAACAACTGACTCAGGAGTATCATTTTCCTGTATCAAATACAAACCCCTAAAGTCACCAAATCTGGAAGTGGTCCCATAAGGAATAGTATTCAGGCAGTAATGTGACTCAGAATCAGATTACCTAAGGGCATGATAAGCAAAGTCAATCATGCTTTTTAAGCCAACGAAAAAGAATAAGGCACAAAAGCCAGTTGCAGAGCAATTCTAATTATAATGTCATAAACCGCTCCAAAAAGAAATGATTCACAAGTGGAGAAATCAAGGACAGATATCATCTACATCAACATAATAGAATCACTGCAGCATAGCAATCATAGAAGGTCTCCCAGATATGCATTGATTAAAGCTAACCTATAATTTAACGCTTAATAACGTTGCAAAATCTTGTGCAGAGTATAGCTCTTAATAGATTGTTGATCAACCTTGAAAACTATGGCCCGATCAATTAACAAAGATATATAAAAGAAAAAAAAAATAATTTGAGCAACTAAAGATGTAACTTACTTTTCGTGTGTTGTCTGTACCAAAAGGAGAACGTAGTTTTCCATAATGTTGACAAGCTATTTTAAGCAAGGACAGAAGGAGTCTCAACCTTTCACCTTTCTTATAATCCATATCATGTGATTCGCAGCACGCAATCCTCTCATCTAACCATTTGTATAGCTCTTTATTTCCAACATTCCCGCCGACCAATGGACCTGGGAAAGATTGCTGGCACAGAGCACGAAAATAATCACCAGTACCATTTCCAATGCTAGAAGAATCGGTGCTTCCCTTGACAACTTCCATCAAGTTCAACACAGAAACAGAACCTTGTACAGAATCCTTCAGATAAAAATGAATATACGGTTTTAATCATTTTAAGAAATCACTCATAAGAAAGTAGAGAAGAAAGAGGAAAATATATTTTCAAACACAAATCACACAAAAGCAACCACCAAGTCTTTCAGGAATCAGATGAAGCATAAATCAACACAGAAAAGAGGAATCAAGAATTAACCTGGCTTCCATATGATGAGCTCAAAAGACTAGGATCTTTCATTATGATGAGTTTTCCACCAAATCCAAAGGTTACCAGGGCATGAGGAGGACGTCCAGCTGATGAACTTCCAACATGAGAGGCATATGAATATTGATGTCCACCCTGGATTGATTGCTGGGAATAACTAAAGGACTTCTGATTTTCAGCAAAATCATTTGAAAAATTTTGTTGGTCATCAAACTTTGTGTTTGAATAATTAAACTGATGAACAGTGTTTCCAGCGGGGACAAAGCTTTGTGATTCAACAGTTCCATTAGCTAAACCATGATCATGGTTTACTTTATTGTACAATGCAACTGATCCAAAGGATCTATAAGTACTTTGTTGATCTTTGTTCACAGAAATACTTGAACCATAAGAATGATTAATTTGCTGGTTACCACCAGAAGTTATATTATCCCCTCTTTGAGTAGCAGTCTCAATTGTGTACATGTCAAAACCCTGCTGATGGTTAACACCATACGAACCACTCCAGCTTCCATCTACAGCCTGATTAACAACACCCTGTGTTCCATAATTACCAGCTTGGCTATACTCACTATACATATTTTCATTAGGTGAAACAGTACCGGTAGAAGCATGCCCATTTTCAAGTCCATGAACAGAAGACTGAATGGTTGAATTGTAAGTTTCCAATGACTCCCATTTTTGGGCAATTGTGTCATAATACCAACCAGGATACTGATGATCAAAAACCATATGTTCTGGATACCCATTATTCCCTTGTGAAACCTGACTCCAGCTAGATACACTTTCAGTTGTGCCAGTTTCAGCTAAAGTTCCAGTAACAGACTGAGTAGTTTGCTGTAGATAAGAGATCTCTGTTTTTCCACCAGAAGCAGCAGTCCAATCCACAGCTGTATTGGCTTCCGAGCTTAGCTGAGTAGCAGCTGTTTCATTATAGCCATCTATTTGATACCATTTCCCAGTGTTGTGGTCATACTTCCAGCCAGGATAAAGATCCTCCCAATACTGACTACTACTCAAATCTTGTCCATTTTCATGTTTTTCCGAAGATGCATCATAAGTTTGACCCTCTTGATATTGCACATAATTAACCGAAGTATTTAAATCATCACCTAGCCTGCTTGTGTGATTTTCTAAAGATGCATCATAACCTTGACCCTCTTGATATTGCACGTAATTAACTGAAGTAGTTAAGCCATCATTTCGAACTTCGTTACCAGGGTTCACCTCACTATTTAAATTATCATATGCATTCCCTGGAAAATTTCCAGATTGATCTCCCAACTCGCTGAAAAAGTCAGAATAAGATCCAAACCCAGTGCCTCCATTTGAATCAGCATAAAAAGAATTCCAATCCACCTCCTTAACCTCCGAACTAGAGGTTTTATCGCTCTTGCTTACAGCTGAAGCAGGCGTGGATTCCGATTCCATCCCATTGTTACCGAGATCCCTCTCACCATCACAACCAACTGAACTAGAGGACAGCAACGAATCTCCCTCCTGTTCATGTCCAGCAACCAAACCCACATCGGATTTCACAGTACCCAATTCCCCTTTGAGTTCAATCCCACTTTCACCCGTATCTGAATTCTCAAACACAGTAGCATCAACATCACTGATACTCAAATTTGCAAATGCTTTAGCGTCATCGAAATCATTCCCTTCGTCATGGCCAGACTTAACGGGCTCCATATCATCCTCAACCAGTTTATCAAAGAAATCCTCATCCGTCTGATCCTCCACGTGAAATGGAGGATTCGAAGCCATCGACCAAAACCCTAACCCTTCACCGATTCCTCTTGATCCCACCAAAGATTGAGACAAATTCGACGGCAAACTCGCTCAGATTTCACCTCTCACAATTCCTAAACTCGATGTCAGAGCTAAACGGCAACAAAAACTCGAGATCCAAAACGAAAAGCCTCAAAGTTACTGATCCTTTAAAGCTAAACCTCAAGTAGAAGGTGGAATAACCAAAACCAGTAAACAAGATCTGGTAATTCTGAAACTCACGAAATCCAATAACCAAAAATCAAGGAAAACATACCCGGGAACTGCAAAGCTTTGGGCCTCAATTCAACGCAGTAAAACGATATCAACTTAGAGATCCATGTTCAGAATGTTGCAGGCAATCGGAGACAGAAAATTTAGAGAGAGAAGAGAGAGGAAAAGCCCTCGATTTCGCACCACCCGCACCCACCACGAACAAGATACAACTACGATTCTTTTTTTTCTTTTTCTTTTTTTCTTTTTTTTTTCTTTTTTAGATTATTTTTTGCTTTATTTTATTAACCTCGTGTAAGTTCGTCTGTTGATGCGTTTTTATTATTCTTTGTCGACATATAGATTTTTTTGTATAAATATTAACAAATAGCATTTTGGTAATTTGCATGCAGTTGTTAAATTAGTGTACTGTCGTTGAAAATAAAAAGATAGCAACAAAAAATTAAGAAATGTGACCCGAAAAATATGCAATGCGACTCCCACATACAGTAATTTTTTTTTTTTTTTTTTTTTTGTGGTAATACCACATGTATTTGCCCCTTCCCATGTGGCCTTCGGCACTACTACAGTCAGAATATTATTATAAGAGATTTATTTCCATTTTTTCAAAAGAAATTTATCAATTTATCTTATTTTTTAAACTATAACAATTTATTTCGTTTGATTAAAGTTGACCCAAAAAGTCAAACCAATTTAATTAATTTGATTAATTAAATACTTTTTACCCAACACGTCACAGTGCATTAACAAGATCACGTCATTTGTAAAATTTGATTTTAATATACTCGTTCGGTCAACTTTAATCAATCATAAATAAATTTGGTATATAATTTAAAAAATATAATGAAATAATAAATTTTATTTAAAAATTGACAACTTGGTCAATCACCCAATAAACTAACCTAAAATCAATTATTGAGATATATTTCATCAGTCATCGAGAATATCATCAAATTAGTATTTTGATCATACAAAAACTAATATGAAATCAATTATTTATTTGTGGAAATTTATAACAATTTAGTCTTTAAGAATCATGATGTGTTCATAGATAAACGAAATGATTCATTTTCTATATATAATTAGTGAACTAAATTTGTATTAAAACTCTTAAAAAAAAGTGTTCATCTTTATATTTTCATGAATTAAAAGAAACAGGTTCCATATATAGTGTTTATTGATGCTGAGAAAGTGTACGATGAGGTTTTAAGAAATGTTTTATGGTGGTTCCATGAGAGAAAAAAATATTGTCTAAGCAGGCGATCAATGACATGTATGATAGTGTTATTGTAAGTATAAAGGCTTGTAATGGAACATTAAGTTGATTTTCAATCATAATAGATTTGCACCAAAGTTTTCCATAGGGGGATTGTATTGTATTAGAATTTCAAAGAATTTTAATGAATTTTTTTGTCCGGTTATTTTTGGACAAAAAATCCATTGGTATTCAATAATAATTTTAAAATGATTGAAAAAAAAGTAACGGAATATTCGATTAAGATTTTAAAAGATTATTTTAAAGTATATCCAAATCCGTTGTTATTCAATCAAGATTTTAAATAAAGGAAAAAAATATTGTGGTATTCAAAAATATGATTATTTTAATGAATTTTCTATTGGTGTGGATTTTGTAAGACTTTTAGTGAAAAATATGAATATGATGTCTCTCTCACAATCTCATCATAACCTCTAAGATTTCTTGAGATTTTTATATTGCAGTGTCTCACAATCTACTCTAGCCTTTTCTCAAAGCCAAGGTATGTCTTTTTTTGACTCTTGTATATTTTCTCGGATTTTGGTATTCCTCTTTCATGATTAGTGATTGTGATTGTCGCCTGTATTTATCAGGTTTTGGTATTCCCCCTTCATGATTATTGATGTGTTTCATTATTTTTCTTTTACTAAAGTTGTATAGAGTTAACGATAAAGATGTATCTGATCTCTAAATAATGTATGTGCTCACGTATTCAATTTGAAATTGAACTAATAAGTTTACCACATACATTCTCCGTCGACCTTCTTCTTTTGTATATTGTTTGGATTATAATGAACATAAAATCCTAATATTCTTCGTGTTTGGCAATGATACATATTAAAAATCTTAATACTCGGGTGGCAAACTCTCTCTATATATATATAGAGAGAGAGAAAGAACAATATATGTGCTCTGTTTTTGTAAGCATGTACTCTCTTTTTTTCGTACATAACCATTAGCTTATTCAATATTTTTTTTTTATTGTTTGTTGATTGAACTATTTAATGTTGGTTTGGTTTACTCATTTAAATAAACTTGTTTAAATTGTGATGATATAATCTCATTTAAAATTGTTTTAATTATTGTCTAGTTTAAATTTTATTATCGTAAATGAATTTAGATTTCATACTAATTTTATATGTATTGTATAAATAATTAGGTAAATATTTTCTAGTGGATTGTGAACTTTCCAATCGATGCTAATTTTTAGCTCCATTTCGAGGTGTGCAATATCATCTGCAAGATTTTATAGGTCATGGTAATAACCCTCAAAATGAAAATGAATTGATAAATTTTCGTAATGCATCATCGAGAAATGTAATTGAGAGGATATTTGGCATTTTTAAATCATTGTTCATAATTTTTAAGTCAGCACCTCCATTTTCATTTAAAACATAAACAGGGCTTGTGTTAGCATGTGTAGCATTACACAATTTTCTTCGCAAAGAATGTCGTTAAGATGAATTTTCAATTGAATCAATAGATGCATCTTCATGATCTTCAGTATCACTAGTTAATGAAGAAGATAATTTTTAACCTATTGGTCAAGCCCAAGAGCAGAAACGAAAATATGTTAATGCGTGGAGGACTAATAGAGCTTTAGATATGCGGAGAGTTGTTGCTTAGTAATTCTGAATGTATGTTAAAAATGATATTAGATTTTATGATTGATAAAATTATATTAGGTTTTACTTTTTTATTAATATCATTGCATTTCTTTGTTTTTTTTATTGACTTTTGTAATTTTGAATGTTTGTTAAAAATGCATATGATTTTTTAAAATCTTCTAAATCCATATTGTCCTTTCAATTCTTATAAATTCTATTAAAATCCTTTAAAATTCAATCTTACGAAATTTTAATTGTAAAAAAAGTCTTTAAAATCCATCCAATTATAACTAATCTTTTAAAATCTATAATATTTTTTATCTCAAAAAAGTCTTATAAAATTCTAATCCAATACACTTCCTAAGTCCTTATCTTGTTGCCTTAACTACAGATGAGCTAACAAAAAAATCCAAAAGGAGACGTCATGGTGTATGCTTGAAGATATTATGCTTATTGATATGATTAAAGCTGGTGTCAACAAAATATTAGAATTGTGGATAAATATATCGAAGTCTAAGGGTTTGCATTAAGATGGAGTGAAATTTAGTATATAGAGTAGAGTGAGTTTATGACGATAATAAGAAGTTCAAGATTTTGTGCATATGTCAGGATAAGAGGTACCAAAAAAAATACTTTTAGATACATGTCATCTATATTGTGAAAGGGGTGTAAAACATAAAATTATAGCAAGTTGGATGAAATGACATACTCACATACTGCATTAGAATTTTTGTGTAAAAACAAAATTCTTTTGAAGCTAAAGGAGATTTTTATAGAATGACAAGAAGGCTTGCAACATTATACAAAGTTGAATGTTGGCCAACACATAAACAATATTAACATAAAATGAAAGTAGAAAGAATGACTATGTGAAGGTGGATGTATGTTATAACATGAAAAATAAAGATATCCGATAAAAAGTAAGAGCAGCATTGATGGCCAAAAAGATGCATCTTCTTAAAAAAACTCCTAGATATTCTTGTAAGACAAAAAGAGGAAGAGGTTGTCCATAATTTATTTGAGGTACAGTGGTAAAATAAAACTCAATGGAGAAAGGAATAAATTGGCATACGATTTGTGTCAAGACAAAATGGAGGAAAACTATCAGTATTGAGGGGAAAGATTCATTATTTTTGATATTTTGGATTGCCTTTATAGTCATTTCTCCCTATATTTTTTTTGATATTTTTTATTTTGTTTATTTATTTAATTTACTTTTTATCTTATTTTTAATTTGGATAAAAATATGTTGACGATGAAAATAAAAAAAAAAAAGTTACTATAAAAATCATATTTTAATTTTATTGCTTTCCTCATTGTCAATGGTATTGAGCGCATGATTTGTTTGAAGGGAGGCGATTGCTATAATCGCCTGTCCCACTCTTTATTCTTTATATTATTTTTATTTTTATTATGTCTAGGTGAGACATTCCGAAACCTTATTTTGTAATCGGAAAATATTTTCAGTATTACAGATGTATCGATCCCTCAATACATTCTTCAAAAGAAAAAATTATATTACTTTTTATTTTTATGATTATTTTCTTTTATATTTTTTTTTTTCAATTTTGGTAAAAATAATACTTACTCTCGTTGCACCAAATAGGGTCCTGAGATTACCAACAACAAAAAATGGACCCTCCTGAGACTAATGGGACATAATAAAAAATAATATAGCCTCTTTGCATGCACCGACAGCTTTAGTTGGAAAGTTTTATTTTGGATATTACCAGAATAAGTTACTGATGGTAGCAATTGGGGATGGAACAGGGATTGCCGTCATTATTTGTGATGAAATTAGGTTGGCATGCCGCATGCATGAAAAATTAGGTGGGCATGCATGTCCCCGAAAAAGTGGTGGGTGTGCATTAATTTTTCATACTTCCAGTCACAGAATGTCAAAAACCGAATAACATCAGGAATAAAATTCGGAGTAATAAACTTTGATCTCCCAAACATAAGCGCGTTCAGTATTAAAATAAAATAATTGCCAATGAAAAATGTTATATTTTCGAACATTCTGTTAAAACTTTCATCAAACATTAAGTGTAAACATAATTGTATACCGGTGCCTCTGGCCTCTGGCCTCTGGGGAGTATCTATTGAAGACCCGCTCCAAAACATCGCGTGTAATTGGCCTTGTATAATCACTTTCTAACTCTTAATAGCTTCTGTCAAAGCTACGCTCTTTTGCTCAACAATGGAAGTTTGATAAGTAAGTTTCATTGTAATTATACCTTAGCGTCAACCTTCACAGAGCGTTGAGAATGTGACAGCGAGGAAGGTGACCCGTGACAGGAACTGCATCTACGGAAGAGACCACGTGGACAGAAAAAGAATGTATCAAAAGGAAAAAAATAAAAAAATAAATCCCATCATTACATTACTCCATATGAGGG